ACTCACACTCACACACACACTCAGTGAGTTATTTCCTGCTGGCTGCAGTTCACTGTCTGAAGGTTAATTATATTTAATTATATTTAATTATAAATTATACAAACTAGTGGAAGCCGTTTGCAGCAGTTAGCATCATGCGAACGTCAGTGTTTACTTTTATCATCAGTAAATAAAAACAGGCTGCAGCTCATCAACAGTGAGTGAATAATGCTAACTCTGAAACATATACAGACAGAAATAAAACTACATTTACAAAGATTTTAGTTTTTAGCTGATCAAACTGTAGTTTTTGAAGTTACGATCAGTATTGATCAGTATTGATCATTATTGATCAGTATTGATCATTATTAGTCAGTATTGATCATTTTGAGTCCGTATTTATCAGTATTGATCATTTTGAGTCAGTATTTATCAGTATTTATCAGTATTTATCAGTATTGATCAATATTTATCAGTATTTATCAGTATGAGTCAGTATTGATCAGTAATGATCAATAGTATTGGTCTCTTCTGATCAGTACGGATCAATAAGAGTCAGATTCAGTGCAGAGATGGTGCGATTGATGATGGACTCACTTCTCCTGCAGGTCCATCAGACTCTGCTCGGCCCTCTGCAGACCCTCCAGGTCCTTCATCAGCTGACCCAGGTCGTCTCTGGACTTCCTGGTCTGAACGTAGGCGAACCAGCAGCCGCCCAGCGCCATCAGGATGGACACACCCAGAACCAGGTCCTTCCACCGGTTCTGTCGGCCTGCGGACACACACACTATATATTAATATCAGTACACACACACACGCACACACACACACTATATATTGCTATAAACACACACAGACAGACACACACACACACCTATACATTCCTACATTGCTAACAGGGGACTGTCATTCTACACTATCCAACAGGGGACTGATGTTTCTGGTTATTTTAAAAAACCAAAAATAGCATAGAACATTTTCTTTTAAGGTCTTTTACCAGAATATTACTTCAAATGTAATTTTTTATTTTTTTTAAAGAAATTGCCAAGAGGGGACTTTTTTCCATTAGTGATGTCTACCTATCAAAGAGGGGACCTCCATATACTGCAATGGAACTGCCTCTACCCATTCTTTCACCTAATGAGTGTTTGTTTACTGCAAAGACTTTCTTTGTTTCTTTCAAAAACACAATTTAACTCAAAAAAAATGTTACATTTTAAAACTTTTAAACTTTTATCTGCGATACAGATATTACAAAAATAATCATGGCCACTTTTTTTGAGAATAAATAATGATTTACCTGCAATTAAGAAGTAACTTGGCTGCATGCACTGATATTAAGGCCTGCAGTGCTAGCAACAACATTACTTTATATAGGCTTTAATTACAGAAATTATATATTGTTACAATAGTGCACTAATTTAAATTTCTTAGGGGAATTTGTATTCTTTTTATGATGTGTGTGGAATGGTGAAATAAACAGAGTGGTCCATTCATCCTTATTATGTTATTAGATTATATCTTATTTAGTTTTTGCCCTTAATAACAAACATTTCCTAATCTTGGGCAGGTTTTGAATCATGCGTTGACTGTCATGTTGTGGTTGTTCGGCTCGTGACACAGATTACAGTCATCAAAATAAAGAAAAATAAGAACAATAAAAGAAAGAAAAAATAAAATAAAAGAGAAAGAAATGAGCAATAAAGTAGTAAGATCCTTTCTTTTTAGTTTTAACTAATAAGCTTCACATCAGACTTTGACTAGTCCTTTAAAGTGGCTCAGTCCTAAAATACTCACTGACC